GATCATATCAACGAGAAGGGACTTCAAACTCTTACTAGAAAGCAGTTCATACTAGAGTTGCAAGATACATCTCTTAAATCTTGTGATCATTGCTTAGTTGTAAAAACACATAGAGTTACCTTTCATACATATCTATCATCTAAAAGATCAAATGTTATTGATTTGATTTATACTGATGTTTGTATTATGCAAACTAGAACTCTTGGAGGTGCTCTTTATTTTGTTACTTTCATTGATGATCATTCTAGAAAAGTGTGGGCTTTTGCTTTAAAATCTAAAAACCAATTACTCGATATTTTTAAAGAGTTTCATGTCAGTGTTGAAAGAAAAATTAACAAAAAGCTAAATTGCGTTCGAGCAGATAATGGTGGCGAGTGCAGAGGTCCTTTTGAAAATTATTACAAGTTCCATAGTATCAAAATTGAGAAAATAGTTCTTAAAACTCCTTAGTAGAACGATATGGCAGAAAGGATAAACAGAACCATTGAAGAAAAGATTAGGTATATGCTTTCCCATGCCAAGTTACCTAAGTCATTTTAGGGGAGGCTATGAGAACTACAGTTGACCTTATAAATTTTTCACCATTAGTTCTGAAAGGTGATGTTCCAGAGAGAGTATGGAAAAGAAAAGACATATCTTATAATCACTTGAGAGCTTTTGTGTGTAAAGCATTTGTTTATATTCTCAAATATGAGAGGTCCAAGCTTGATAATAAGATAAAAGCATGTATCTTCTTGGGATATGATCATGAAAAGTTCGATTACAGATTATGAGATCTAGTGAACTAAATTATTATTAAAAGCAAAGATATTGTGTTTCTTAAAGACCAATTGTTTGATGATGGTGATAATGTTGAGAAGCCAAAAACCTCTGTTTATATTCCTTGGAGTTTGTGTCCAGTTCCTTCACCTATAGTTCATGATAATCATGGGGGAGATGAAAAAGAATATTATAGTGAGAATGTCAGTGATGATACTCCTACAGTTGATAAAGTTAAACCAACTGAACAAGCACCTCCACCATGTTATGAACGAGTCGGCACTAAGAGGGGGGGGTGAATTAGTACAGTGGTAAAAATCACGGTTTTGAAAATTTCTTTCATTTCGTACGATAAAACCGATTTCGGAAACTTGCTCAACTTGAAAGCGTATTTGTAAACATGTTGAAAGCAGTAAGCAAGTAAGGAGGTTTGTAGTAAGGTAAGTTGCACAAAAGAAAAGCAAACCAGATTTTTATAGTGGTTCGGTCGTCATGACCTACATCCACTCCACCGATTCCTCTTCCGTTGAGGCCACCGGCATCCGCTATCGATCTTCCTTTAATAGGTGAAGATCAACCTCCTTCTTATACTCCTCTTCTCCTTTTCACAGGTTTAGAAGATAACATTTACAAGCACACACTCATCTCTAAACAAAATTCTAAGTTCAAGCTAGAGGAGGGGATTTCTCAAGAGATTTCTACAGCGTTTTCTCACTTTTAAACTCTTTGTACTTGTATGTTTTAACTAGGGATGAGAGGGGTATTTATAGGCTTCAAGTTGATTCAAACATGGAGCCTAAAAAGGTCTCATCCCAGGTTTCCTGGGTATTGACGGTACCACCGTCGTTCCTAGGCGGTACTACCATCGCAGGATCTACCACTAAACGGTACCACTACCTGATAGGGGCGGCACCACTGCTGGCAGCATTACTGCCAGTGGTACCACTGCCCAAAATACTTGGGGTGTTGTTCCCCAGGCGGTGCCACAGCCAGCCAGGGTTTCAGCACCCTGGTTGGGCCTTGAATCCGGCCCAAACCAGCCCAACTTCGGGCCCAGTTGGCCCCTAACAGAGTTGATGGGATTACCTCCCAATCCCAATTCCAATTATGTGCTAGCTACAAGTCCTAAGACATAATCTAAGCAAGATAAGTCCGGTTTCTTTCGGCGAGCTTCCGGCGATCTTCCGACGAACTTCCGACAATCTATCGGCAATGTTCCAGTGGTCTCCCAGTAAGCTCCTGGACTTTACGACAATCTTCTTGCCGAGTTCTGAGAAGCTTCTTTGGCAAGCTCCTGGACTTCTCGGTTGGTTCCGACAGAACTTCCGACGAACGTCCGGATATCCGACGAACTCTCGAACTCCCAACAAAATCGCGTTCTTGACTCCAGGATTTCATTTTGCTTTATGCTTTGCTATTGTAGTTAATCCTACACACATAAAAACACACTTTGATCTAAACAATTATTACAAAACATGAATCATGTTGTCCGACATGTCATTGGTCCATCGACGCTTCATTCGATTATTCGGCGCATCGTTCGATCTTGCGGCCTATTGCCTAATCGGCTAGTTGATCTCCGCAACTCCGATATCCTTGGCGTAATATCCGCTCTTCTTGGCCTGATGCCCGAATCCATGGCCCAAAGCCTTCTATCGATATGTCGACCAATCCTCCGGCCCAACATGATTTTTCTTACTTTAATTGTCTCTCCCTAATCGAAGCATCCTGCGTCAATTAAAACGTAGATCAAATCATAAATACTATCAATTTTTTTCATTATGAAAATTCGAGATTCAACAATCTCCCCCTTTTTGATGATAACAACCAATTGATGACGGAGTTAACCTTAACTCCCGGAGTTTAAACTCCCCCTATCATGCCATATTGATAGAACCCTGAATTCGAGCTGAATTCAAGTCGTTGCAAATTTCATCATGAATATTTGCAACATGTCATCATGCCATATTGATAGAACCTTGAATTCAAGCTGAATTCAAATCGTTGAAAATTTTATCATAAATATTTGTAACACGTCATCATATATAATATGATCATACTTCTCCCCTTTTGTCATCAACAAAAAAGGAGAAGTTCAAATCATTGCATAAAAAACATAATATCAAGTTTTATCATCATGCAATTTGTAAGTTAAAAAATTTAGCAAGTGTTACATCATGCAAGCTATCAAGTTTTAGATATGCAAGGTAGTAAGATAGCAAGTTTACAACATACATGCTAGCAAA